CCTCTCACTCGCCCTCCTCTTTGATGCGCTGCTTGCTGCGACGGGTGTCTGTGTCGAAGGGGAAGTCGCTCCAGTCGTCGCGCGGCGGGATGGAGATGGTGTGTCTGAGCGTGAAGCGCACGGCGTCGATGACGCGCTCCCCCCGAGTCTCTCCAGAGGCCACGCCCACCGCCGCAGACGATGGGGCCGAGGAGGAGACCGGCCGCAGGATTTGCAGCGGGGACGAGAATTCGGATGCCTGTCGATGGTCCAGGATGCCCTTCCAGATGACGTGCTGGAACTCGGCGGGGATTTTCAGCCGAGAGAGATCCTACGCACACACAGCACACAGCACATTAGGCTTCGGCCACGCGCTGTCCCCTGCACTGGACGGCGGCCATCGCATCTCTGTCCTGCCAGTGTTGGCCGTGAGATGGGCAGGGCCTCACCTCCATGGCGTAGTTCTCGATCTGATAGATGTTACTCAGGCCCTGTGCCGTGAAATATTCCAGGCAGGAAGAACAGCCCAGCCTCACCAGGAAGCTGCAGGCATCACAAAAATAACCCACAATCAACCACCTATGTTTATCTCAATCACACTTCTGATTAAAGTATAGACCGTGCAACAAAGTAACGACTATTAATTATTAATTTTTAATTATAATACAGTAGAACTGAAATACCCTAAAGCAGTTGCTGACTTTGATCTTTATCAAATCACACAGCAGATGATAAAGGGATTAGAATTTATGAACAAAAGGTTCAAGGCTTATTGCTGTAAATTAAGTGAATTAATGACTTAAGTGAGGAATTTACCAAAAATAGTCAGCTTTGAGAGCTTCGCGATTCTCTGCTGTATTGTAAGTATAACACAAATTGTTCCGGTAGAAAATACAGATTTACGTGCTTTTTTTTTTTTTTAAATAAACCAGCCACCGTCTGGAAAGTGTCAGACGTATTTTTCATAACTGAGAAAGGCAGGTGATATATGAAACATGATGAGCTGAATGATATGTTAGAAGCAAATCCAATTAGTTGGTGGAGATCAGCTCACAGGGCGTGTCTTGCGTTAAGTTTGTTTATTGAGATAGTGGCTTGGTCTACGACGGGTAATCCGAGCAGTAATCAGGCTCTGGCACGGGAGTACCGGCGCCGTTACCTGGAGATGCTGGTGTCGATGGGATATGGTGGGGGTGGCGTGCAGTGAGAGGTGGTCACCATTGGCAGCTGAGGCTGCATGACGTGGGTGGGGCTCAGGGCCCCCAAGTCCGGGCCCATGGGGAGGTGCGTGCCCATGATGGGGGATACTGCAGAGAAGAAAAGAAACCACCCCCACGCTCAGAACGAGTGGGACGACCCGCTGACATACAGCAAGCCAAGGCGGGAGGAACCAGGAGGACCAGCAGGTGGGAAACACCGGTGCAAGAGTGCAAAGCGCCTCAAAATAAGAAAATACCCCATTTAATGAACTTTTATCGGTGTTAAGCTCTGGCAGGTGAAGCCTGACACTCAACGCATGTGTTAGCTAATGTGTCAGACTATATATGTGTTAGCTAATGGCCTGCTCACCTCAGAGCGAGATTGTGAGAATGACTGTTGCAGCAGGGTGAGTGAGTACATGGTGGACAGTTCCAGTCACCTCACTGCAGGATGTTCAGTTATTGTCCATTACGGAATTCATTACTCAGTACAAAGAATGTTTGTCTCTATCTAAATGTGAAAAGTGAGTCATTTGTGAAGGACAAATAGCACTGCATTTCCTGTAGTGACATCACCTGATTAGTATCCAATGAGAGCTTTTGTTGGCACATACGCCTGCACACGCTGCATCCCATCGGTTTGAGTCGAGAAGCCGTGCACCCAACATCTCTCAGAAAGGGGTGGAGGGGTCAGAATCGGATACTTACTGTCGGTGAGCCCCCCTGGCATGTTTGATGGCGTGAGGGATCCCCGTGGCTGGTGATTGATGAGCTGGCTGACGGAGGGGAGCTTGTTCACCTTGCCGTGCGGGGGGGAGCTGGACGGGAACGCCGGCTGGGCGGGCATGGAGTTCCTGGGCCAGATGGGAGGGATGGAGGTGCCAGTTACTTCCCTTGGCAGACAGAGGGCAGCGGATGAACTGATCACACAAACAGACCCTAACTGGCAAACTAAGCCCATTGGCGTCATACAGCCTCAGTGGGATCGGAATGATCTATGAACATGTGACATGTCTATGAAGTTGGTACAAATTATTATTATTATTATTATTACAGTGCAGAGTTGTGCTATGACAACAACAAGTATGACAACAACAACATCATGAAGAATAAGGAGCCATTTCAAGATGCAGCAGATGACCAGAAATGTAAAAATTCACAACCAAAAGGTCTAAGACTTAATGCTGTAAGTAAAGTGATTTCATTAGCCAAGGAGCACAGGCCGGATAAAATAAATGAAGCCGTTCGGGAGATTTGTGATTTCTCTGGTGAATTATGAGCTTAACTCATTGACTCCAATCCCATAAATTTTCAAGGGGTCAGACTAATGGTTATGTTGTAATAAAAGCAAAAGCTTTGCACCGTTTTTCAAATCTCATCAAAATTGTTATGCAGTATCATTATTATTAGTACTCTTAGTGAGATTAAAATTGACAAATCTCACTTGATTTTTTTCTTCCTGCCAGTATTAGAACATAAGAACATAAGTTTTTACCATCCTATAATACATTTGATTTCTGAGGTGTCTTTTTGCGTAGACAAACACAGCAGGTTTTGGATGTGCCAGACTAAATGCATATATAGTTATACGTAAGCCTAAAATGAATTGTTAAAATAAACTGGACACACTGAAACTCCTGATATGCCCTGGTGTAATGCACAAACGCGGTCGTAAACTGCGTGAAAAGCTACCATAAGTTTCGCAAAAATCCAAGCTAAAAGTAGGTCGTCTGACCGCAACCTAGAAATCTCGACCGACTCAGTCGTTCGATAATTTGCTTCAGTGTCACACCTGCCGCAGGTACAGTATCAGGTACAGTATATATTTACTCTGTTTACCTTAAAGGATTTCTCTTTCAGTTTAGAAAACTGGTGTAACGAGAATCAAACACAATCAGATAGATGTTGTTCGCCAAGCACTGTTCCCGGATCTTTCTGCATTTTTCACTGCATATACGTATATATTTGATGCAAAATGATATCGTGCATTAACAAGTTTCCCAGTTCTATTACATACGATCTTTAATCGATTAAATCGGTGCTACTGTCTCATTAGAAAGTTGACGTGCAATACCGTCAATCACCAAAGGATGTCAGTATTTCACAAATATTGAGCCTCTGCACTAAATCTGAATCTGCACATCTAAATCTGACCTTGATTTGAAAAATCTGCATTTTAGGGGAACGTCTTTTTCGTAATTTATTTTAACTGGCAAAAACGAAGACACCAACGAAGACACAAAAGAGCTGCCTTCAGTTTGACAGAACATGTTTACCAGCTGGCACGAGTAAACAGGGTTCGCTGCAAAGATCGAGCGGGTTCCTTTTAAGGTTTAAGCAATAAATTATGGAGACGGAAGGGGGTGCAAGCAGACGCTGATACTACAGCCCGCTCTGGCACAATGGGCTGGTGAGCGGAGATTTTAATTAAAGAATCGGACTGTAGAAACAGGTGTCGAACCAGCGAGAAATCTGACAAAGCACAAAGAGACTCTCGCTCCCAAACCTACGCTGCCCATTTGGCTCGCTGCTCAAACCGCGAGTGTGAGATCGCTCTTAGAGCTTAGGTACTCATAAATTCTCACCCAGTCATTTCTACAAGCCATGTAACACCTTGGACTGAGTGTTGCAGTCAGGGAGATACTGAGCCAAGATCAAGGCATCTCCACAGTTGACTAAAACAGAGGAGTTTTAAGGGGGGAAATAAGTTAGAAAGGAAAAAATGGAGTGGAGATCTTGGAAGATGTTGAGTTCATGTCAGCAGATGTCTGCAATCTTTTGTGTGTGTGTGTGTGTGTGTGAAAGAATGATCGCAAGCAATAATTGTCAGACCACAAATATATCATTTAAAGGTTCTATTTTCTTCTTAAGAACCTCCCTACTTTACCTCCTTGGGCAACTAAGTGAGAGTTAGATGCAGCTTTGTATGAGTGACATGGGCTTGGTAAACATTGTATAACTTGTTTTTTTACTCCATGAAGCTGCGAGTATGTTTTCGGTCAGGTCTTTAGGGAGGTCTGTGCTCTCCACCACGCCGTTTCAGATCAACACATAACTCAAAGGTCTACAGGGAGCAAAAGTGGGGGGAAAAATTAAATTGAAATCTGCACGCCAGGCCAAACATCTTTTCTGTTGAGTTATGATTAACTTCTCCTCTGGAGGTATTGTTTATACAAGGTCAACAACATGGGGCTTTCATTCTGACATGGCTCATCTCCAAACCAACCCTTTGTAACAAACATTCCTGCTAAGGTGATTTCTCTGAACTTCAGGTCATGCAGGTTAGATAGCACTGAATTGAGAGGCATTATATGTTTCACCGCTACAGCTATCAATCTCCAGGCAACTGTGAGGTATCAAGGTGGTCAAAAAAAGTATGTTCACCCTCCCCAGACAGAGACCAGTCAACTAAAATCCCAATCGGAGGCAACCAATCAGACAGCCCAGAATATTAAGATGTGACATGGCTGACTCTGGCAGATTGTCTTCAAGAAATATGCTGAATACTCACTGTTTCTGGATGAGATTCTGCTGCTGCTGTCTGTATGCCTCAATAGTCTGCTGGGGCACAAACTGCATCAGCTCCAGGGACTCCTTAATTTTCACCAGAAATTCATAGATCTCACGCCCTTTAATCTAAAACAAAGAGAGACAGAATATCATTGTAAAAGTGACATCAATAATATGCAAAGTTCCAAATATCAGTGTTAAACTAGTTGTTGATCTTGGTGAAACCATGATATGTGTATTTGTACATTCCTGCAATCCTGGGGTATGTAAAGAGTGCTGAGGCAGACGGAAGCACCAGACTTACCGCCAGGCAGAAAGTCTCATCGTCTGTAGCTCGTCTCTTCTTGATGGAAGGCAACTGGATGTTGTGTGAGGCCTTGTGGAACGCTGAAGGTAAGCAACAAGCATGGTCAGTAAGGAGGGGTCTCCACATCCCCCCCTCCCCACGCCTCCTGGTCCACCCCTGATGGTTCTTACCCTCACCGCTCTTAGTCCCATCCGTCACGTGCTGCTTGCGGATACTGTCCTCGTCCGCCTTGCGGTCCCGTCCGGGGCAGGCGCAGATCCGGGCCTCGAAGCACCTGCGGCCCAGCACCTGACCACTAGGGGAAGCATTGCGCACATTAGACACTCATGCCAGCAGCTGGTGCTGCGTATGTAGAACAAGACTGTTAGACAGTGTGCTATGATGAATTAGGTCTAGCTCAGCTTCTGATATTACTGCCTGATAAACAAAGTCATAATATTACCATGAATCTTGTATTTTTTTGTGCATATTAACCTGTGTTACACTGTTAATAACCTTAATATTACTAACATATATTGATTATTTTTATTTTGTATTGCTGTGTGCCTCACAATCATATGTCATGTGTCAGTGTGTTTGATTGGATGATGGGTGTAACTTACTCTCTGGTCTCCAGGGTAACGATAATGAGGATGGGTCTCCTGTTCATGCCGCCCACGCAGCTGGAGTTGCACATGAAGTTGTATAGGATGGTCGTGAACTCGGTGCCCACCTGTGGGGGAAGGCAGCAGGATGGAAAATGAAGGGTTAATTTGAAGGTGCGGTACTTAAGAGGAAAGCTATAGTATGGGATGGACGAGTCATCTGAAGAGTCAGCCACTCAAGGCTGACACTGATCTCATAGGCTCCGGGCTTGCTGTTTAACATGACTTTGAAGGCCTGGAGCCGTAGTCAACACAATTAGTATGATTAAAACAGCCAAGTGTTTTGGAGATTGTCTGCAGTCAAATAAAGTTGAACCCAGGTCTAAATCCAAAAATGGTAACCGGGCGGGGCTAGGCCATGTGACCGGCGCGGGACTGGGCCATGTGACCGGCGCGGGACTGGGCCATTTGACCGGCGCGGGGCTGGGCCATGTGACCGGCGCGGGGCTAGGCCATGTGACCAGCTAGGCCATGTGACCGGCGCGGGGCTAGGCCATGTGACCGGCTAGGCCATGTGATCGGCGCGGGGCTGGGCCATGTGACCGGCCTCGTGTTGGTGGCCGAGGCAGAGCGAGAAGGCGCTGACATGCTGGAGGGGTGGCGGGTCATACCTGGGGCGGCTCATAAGGGACCCAGACACTCTGGCGGCCTGTTATGGAGTCCTCGACGTACTGGGCGTGGCTGTTTCCCTCCACTCGAATCAGGTGACTGGGAGGAGCCATTTGACCTGGAAGAGCAGTAATTACAGCACTATTTAACTGCTAATCATAGAATAATAAAACAAATGTATCTACTTGATTTAAGTCAGTTCTGTGTAGCAGTTGGGGGCATTGCTTTGACTGATTTAGTCGGCTTTAATCCCCCTAAGAACCCCCCCTCCCCCTCAAATAAATGTACACTAATTAGTTTAGTGTGTTCTCCTTCATGTTCATTAAAATCACC